GATACAAAACGGCTGTGTGGTCGGAGCCCATTTCTTCACACAGTGCCGAAAAAATCCGGGCTTTCACAGTTCGTGTTTTGATGTAGTTGACTGTGGCGATGACATCAGTCATTACGTTACTGAGCTCAGGACTCAGCTGTTTAGACAGCAGTGCTTCGCGGTGTATCATATAGTGCGTCCTCTGCACATTGGGGTAGACGCGCTTGATGAGCGCTTGCTGCCCTCCTGGTTTCCCAGCCATAGCCTGCGCCCCATTTGTGCAAATCCCGACACAGTCCTCCCATTTCAGCTCGACCTCTTTCAAGTAAGAATCTATGATTTTAAACAGTTCTTCTGCAGTTGCTCTGGCAGGAACTTGTTTGCAGAAAAGTAATTCCTCCCTCATCTCCATCAAGGAATCTGACATACGTTATCAATAAGCAGTCTTTTTTTAATATCAGTGGCTTCATCCATCTACAGAGAAAAGCAGCTGTCACGCACCTTATCCTCTATGTCCTTTGACATATCATAAATGCACCTGCCGATGGTATTATTGGACGAGGAATATCCCGTTATACCCTGTTTGCTGGCTGCTGCGTCGTCAGTCATAGTTGAAACCATATCCATAGCACAGGGAAGTATTAATTCCTCTGCAATCGTGTGCGGCTTTTTACACTGAGCCACTTGGTAGGCAACTTTATAGGAGCTGAGGAGAACATTTGCCGAAACAGATGCAAAGTAAAGAGACACTGTTGACCACAACATTTAGAAGTTTTTGTCTGAAAAAGTCCACTGATTTGTCTTTGTGCTTTGGATGTTTTGTCTCTAAGTGGTGTCTTAGCTTGTTGGGCTTTAATCTGTCTCAAGCTAGCACTTTAAGACAGACAACACACTGCGGCCTCTCCTCATTACCCACCGCTGTGCAGGTGAAGCCAAGCGCAAGATATGCTTCATCATATTTTCTGCTTTTTGCTTTGGAAGGAAGTGGGTTTGTACGCATATTTGGTGATGCTTCATCTTCTGCTTTTTGTTTGTGTCAAAAACCTGTCCATTATGCTAGCAGGTTCTGCTAGTTCCACATCAGTCATTTCCCATCTTTGTTTGTATGTCACCAACTGTAGATAAACGTTCCCTGTCAGTAAATTTGGTGCCTGCACTTGGGTCCTTTCTCTCATCACTCCACACGTCTGCCGTTGCAGCCCTGACAGAAATAGTCACGTCACTTTGGGCATGTCTTTTTTTCAACAGGAACCTCAGAAATAAAAAGTGCAATATTGTAACTGCTTTTTAAAAATCTGTTCCTAATTTGGAAATATATTTAATTTACAAGTTTTAGAGGGTTCTTTCAACAGTATATATCCAAGATAAATGATCACAATTATAATATTTCTTACTGCCTCAAAATCAAATTGAATCAAATCAAATCAGGACCTTGTGAATCAGAATTGAACGAGTTGTAGAAATATGTGACAATACCAGCCCTAATTAGAAAGTCCACTACACAGACTCGGTGGCACAATGCTGCAAAGGAATGCAATCTAGCTAACAGTGGGACATGGAGAATGACAGCAGGTTTTCTAGACCAAGACAACTTTGTTCACCCATCCTTGGTTCCTGAAGTGGTTCCAACGACAGTTATTTACATCTACATCTATGTTATCACCATATTAAAATAATAAGATAAACATGTGATTTCTTGTTCATGGATTTTCACCTGTCAGGGTCAAGGAATGTAGCCTCTGCTATATTCGAGGGAGTACTGTAGTTACTTTCAGGTGGACTCTTGCCCCAAGGGTTCACCAGATCAGGTAGCTGTGCATGTTTTATTTGGCAGAGTATATGCTGGACAGAGATGGGCAGTAACGCGTTACTTGTAACTCGTTACTGTAATCCGATTACTTTTTTCAAGTAACGAGTAAAGTAAGGGATTACTATTGCAAAAACGGTAATTAGATTACCGTTACTTTCCCGTAGGAACGCTGCGTTACTGCGTTACTAAAACCGTGATTTTTTTTGCAAGAATGTCTCATGACAGTGACGTAAGCGAGTGCGACGTTTGTGACAACAGCTGTGTGCAGATCAACAGTGGATCATATATCGAGTGCGGGAGAGAGTATGAGCGTGCAGCGTTTAAAGCGTGGAAGTACTGACCTTATTTTGAGTTTGATTCCATAAAAAGTGACAAAAACATTAGTGTCCGTTGTGCGTGGGAAGAAAACTTCTTTTTACAGCGAAAAAAACCCCTAAACTTCCAAGCAAGCACCGAGTGCGCAACGACGTAATGGGAAACTCACAGAGAAACTCGCGGATTCTTCCACTGACCGCTGCGGCACACCTGCACCAGGGTAAACCTCCGCCTACCCACTCCTGCTTTACAGGTGAAAATAGAGCAACAGGACCGCTGAGTCTTTGACTTTATTTATTTTCTGCTGTGTTTTACTTGCATCTATTTGAAAGAGTGAGTGTAAACACAAAAAATATTTTATTTTATGTGCTGGAATGTGCAGAAAATAGGTTTAAATGTTAAACTAATTTATTCCAGTCAGAGAATGTTGCATATAATTAAATTTTTGCTTGATGCATAAAGTTAAAAGATTAAAACTGATAAAACAAGTTTTAAAAAGAGACTTTTCCATTTGATTACATTTTGTATGATGGATTATGCAGAAAAAGTAGAATTGGGCTGAAAGATCTATCGCTTTATCACCTCTTCAGGTTGTAAATCGTGTTTTTAAAAAGTAACTAAGTAACTAAGTAATTAATTACTTTTGAAAATAAGTAATCAGTAAAGTAACGGGATTACTTTTTTGTGGAAGTAATCAGTAATTAGTTACTGATTACTTTTTTCAAGTAACTTGACCAACACTGATGCTGGATGCTCTTCTGAAGTCCAAAAATAGAATTTGTGTCGCCGTCTAGAATCACACCAGCAGCCTTTCACTTGTCAAGTACAAGTTCAAAAAACTAAATTATACAGGCCACAAAATAAAAAAGAATTAGTTGATAATTAAAAGTATAGCTTTAGCTTAAGTCAGCTTCCTCAGCATGTTATTTTCAGGGTCAGGAATCTATATATCCCTGATCAAAGGAGGTTGGTTCAAGCCCTGACTGGGGCCTTTGAAGGTAGAGTTTCCTGTTCTCCCTTTGCCGTGGGTTTCCTCTGAATACTTCAGCTTCCTCCCACACTCAGCTGACATGCAGGTTAGGTTATCTGGTTATATGGAAAAACTTGCTGTAGGTGACAGGTAGACAAAGTCCTCAAAGCATATAAAATAAGTCCTAGTTCGTCAAAAATTAAATCTGACACCAGCCTTTAATATGCTGAGGAAGTTAGTTGGACCTTAAAAGTGTGCTTATGTAATAAAAAGCAGAGATTCCGCAATTCCGCCTGATCCGTTGAGGCTAATGCTGAATGTAAAGTTTAAATTCTGTGTAACCTTAACTTAGCATTTTTATGTCACACGGCTTTCACAAAAAAACCCACAAACTGCTGTGTGTCTCTGAATCTGTTAAAGCCTGTGAAAAATCTCAATCACTATTTTCCTTCAAGAAAATAAGAAAGCCTGCTGACACAAGAGAACTATGATTTATATGTTTTATAGATGAGTAAAATTTGCAGCAATTACAGGACATTCTTGATGTCACGTTTTCGGTCAATATGAATTTAATCTAAATGCTAGTGGGACTAATGCAGCGTTTCATACTGATCTATTGTTAACTGCTAAAGATGGTTCAGTCTTTGTTCTGCTTGAATTAACCTTATAGTGTTTGTCAGAATCACTTACTACTTCCATTACCTCGCTTTGCAAAGTGCTCAGCCTCAGAGAAACCGGTTTAGACTGCTTTAGATCGTACTTGTTAAACAGAAAACCTCCAATGCTTCGTCATCATGAGCCTCTGTGGGCTCTATGCATGGTGCCATATTCCTGATTTACATGCCTTAATCAAGACTGACATGCAGATGACACCTCGATTTATTTCCCTTTAAACAGACAGAAAAACCAAAAAAAACCCTCTCTTGCTCTAGTTAGAAGAGAATAAAAATTGAATATAATTTGGTTTGTCTCTCTAAAATTCACAATAAAGAATAGCCTTGTTTCTCTATCCAAAAATCTAAGTATGCTGTGTGACCTAAGTGCTGTTTAGTCAAACAAGTATTTAATTACTGGATTACTACAAGCCAGAGTGCTGTAATATGAACTTCTAATCAAACCAGTTTTTCCAGCTTGCAAGGCACGTTTCTTTTAATGCTGCTATGCTAAAGGATAGTGTGGTGACCCACTAGAGGGCTACCATCACACCCAAGCTTGGAGGAGGGCGTCAGGTTTATATTGTTGGATTATATATTTCTGAGCATAAATGACAACCATATATGCTTAGAGGTATATAATTGATTGCATATTGATAGGATGTTTGATCCTTAATAGACTCTGTGTGCATTCCAGAACACTCTGACACACACACACTCCCTGAAGCTATGTTTGTCTTAAGCTCTTTGTCAATGCGATTCATCAAACTCATTATCAGGATGCACTTGCCCGGTCAATTTGTTCAAGAGCCTCTTTTCATAGTTTGGAAATTCACAAATATACAGGTTTCCTACAGCGGTAAAGTTAGTTAATTTCCAAAATAAAGCATATGAATACATCTGGCTCCCATTTATTTGATAATCTTGAAGCTAAACAAACTAACCAAAGAAATTTATTTTTAAAATCCTTTCCTGCTACTGGCTGTGAAGCAGGAGACAACAAACCACTAAAGTTTTATATGCAGACAATGCTAGTATGTGTTGGCAGGTTACGGAGAGCTCAACATCTCAACTATTGTTCCTTGTTATTTTGTCAGTCTGGACTGTATATCCATGGTGTTCAAATGTACCATTTGCATTCCCTTCTGAAGTTTTCGTGTAAAAGTCTTTGCAGCTTTTAGAATTGAATCACTCATTTGAGAAGAAAATTCTCAGAAAAGTAGGATAAGACTAGATCTCTGAAAGTTTTTAGTCAGTAAAATATTGTTATTGCGTAAACAATAAAGTACATTTACATTTGTAACCAAACTTCAAATGGGCAAATCATCATTCCCATCATTTATGTTAACTCTCTTAATTTTCTTGAAAACTAGGAAGTCATTAGTAAGCATTTACCATACTAAATGATTACATTCTCTGCTTTCACAAGTTAATACCCTGAGTAACATCAGATCTCTCAGTTTCACTTTTGGTGAATGACAACTGCTGGTTGAGTCATGAAACCAGTTGCAACTGGTTGCGCAGGCATCATCATCACTCCTGGCTGGACAGTTGGAACAGGCTGCATGTTGATGACCGTGTTATTGTGTAAGTTGATGACAGTTGGCGCTTTCTTGCGATGCTTTAACTCACGATGCATCTGACACCAGGAGCACCACTCACAGAAGCAGGAAATTACAATGTCCTTACAGAGAGAGCCCTGCAGAAAGAGAGTACAAGCATTACAGATGTGGTGTAATTCAGGTGGAGGAGCAGGTCATCTACCAACCAGAGGTTTGGTAGATCAATCCCTGGCTCTTCTGGTCCACATGTCACAATATCCTTGCAGCAGATACTGAGTATGTGTGTGAATGTTTGACAAAAAACATTTAGGCATAGTTGAAATCAAATATGGATGTTTTTGATTCAGTGAGTGAGACTTGTAATTCCCACTAAAGTCCAACTTTGAGTTCAGTGTCATCATCTCACGGTTCATACCTTGATGCCATATCTGTTTCGCATGGCAGCTCTTACAGACAAAACTGCAGGAGGAACACAAACAGGTATCCCAAAGGCTGCTAATACACCAGAGCCACATATATCACATAAAGGGAGACAGTTGTTCTCTCCAAATCTTCCTGAAACAGTGCAGGCGAGACAGGGGCAGCACCAGAATCCATAGCAGCCTGAAAAACACAGAAACGCATCAACAAAGTTGTAAGAAGTCTGAAAAGATGAAGGCAACACAAATCAGAACAACTTGTAGTCCTGAAAATACAAATATAATTTATGAGTCAAATTTAAATGGCTTCTTACAAGTATTTGCATCCTCAAAGCAGTCAAGGAGACCACTGTCCCAGGGGCCAAAAAAAAAAAACCAAACCCTCTTTTTTTTGGTCCCCCCCCAAGGGGGGGGGGGGGGGAGGAGACCACTGTCCCAGTCTGTCAAGGGTTTTTCTGCCATTGTATGTTGAACTTCACCCACAGACACTGAACGATCACTCTGTGAAAGTCGAGAAGCAGAAAAAACAAAATAAAATGAAAATTAAAAGTACAAATTAAATGAAAGTTAAAATTTTGGAGCACTTTCTTTCAAACTACAGCCAAAAGGTATATGCCGTCGATCTCTTTAGTAATCTTTTAATTCTCCAATTAAGCTTTATTAATATATCCATAATTTACAGGACATTTTATATAACAAGGTAAATATACTAGAGCATTACAGAGAGAAACACCTAAACATCCACCATGAACAAGCATTTGGGGATGTTGGAAAAACAAGCTTTCTATAAACATCCAAGTGACTTAAAAGCAAACAGCAATACATGGTTGACATATCTCAGAAAGATGGCTTGTGTAATTTGAAACACGAGTACAGTAACGCAACTCTCTCCTGAACAGGATATGTAGACTGGTTTGGAAGTGAAAGTCTATTACGCTTACAGTTCAGACAGTTTAATGTACTTTAACTGTCTCTGTGACCGTTCTCAGTCATCCAGGTCATCGTAGAAGCTTCTTCAGTTCAGTTCAGAACTGAAGCTTCTCAAATGAAATGTGAAACATCTTCAAGAAACTTAAAGAACTCCAGACGCTTTTCTTTTCAAGCTCACTAATCTACTTTAACTGTCCTCTACAACACACAGCTTAGAATCTGGAGTTCGGTATGTGGTTTGCCTTTGGGAATAATAATTTAAAAAAACAACACTAGAAACACATGCTATTAAAAAGTATACCTCTCTCTTTCTAATAACTTCGATACTGTTATAAACATTTGAGTCTTTTTTTTTTTTTAAGTTCATATAAACCTTAACGTTTTACAGCCACACCCTCATGATGGCCTCTGCTTCTCCAAAGAGGGCTAACAAACAAAACAACACTGCGTGTACACCCATGTAATCCAATAAATTATAAAGTCAAAGCTTTCTCTTTGCAAACTGCCTCTAGTATCAGGTACAAAAAGTACTAATCACTAAGTTTATGTGAAAGGACTTGTAGAAAACTGGAAGGTCTTACCTGCCCCTCTGCGCACCTCTTAATGACTGAACGGAGGCTCTTTGGACTGAGTTTCTTTCAGTTGGGTCAACACAAATAACACTGCAGAGCTTGAAACTCTGGAAACGGAAAAATGAAACTCAAAGTCCATTCAACAATGTCCTTCATGGCCATTGTGTTTTAACCTTTGAATACAAGCGCAGTCACCCACACAGCTGTACAAGCAGGTACTCACAGACTCACGCTGTCTCGGTTGGCTACTGCCTCTAAATGTATCTGGTATTGTTAGTACTGTGTGCTGTTCATTAACATATACTATTTACTGCTGTTTATGCTTATGTTGGTTGTTGCTTTGTTTTCTCTGATTTTTTAAATTTATTTATTTTCAGTAGGTGTTGAAGCAGATTCTAAGTGTTTTTTCTTTTAAGTTTCTCCACAGCTTTATTCTTTCTTTTCTTGCCCCGAGTCTGTTACATTGTGATTGTAATAATTAAATATAAAAGAAATCCTAAAAATATTTCTTTAAAATATGGATATAAATTGGACCAATATAGCAAATGCATTTTTGTCTTTCAGACACAAATTCTGATTGCTACACTTGCGGACAGGACAGGGGAAAAAGAAAGAGGAAAAAACCTCAACTAAATCCTTAACAAGGGTGAAAATGATCAATTAATCGGGCAACTATGGGTGAAGAAAAGTCAGGAGAAACAGAAAAACCAAAGGAATTTGTTATCTTGAGTGTCTATGCTAACGATTATCTGACCTCACTTCTGACAGAAATTGAGGCTGTCAGTCTTCCAAAGAAAATACAGAAGATATTACCTAAGTCAAATTTACAGCTACCGTACACAAAACTGCCTCAAACAGTAGCAAAGTGATGGATGCATTCCAGCTGATGACCTGGAAAAGGACTTAGATATAGGGACAGACTCTTCACCTCTTCAGCGTGGCCTTGGACTAAGCTGGATCCTTGAATATGATGCCTTTAACTTCCAGGCTCCTAAGCAAGAATGATCCTTCACTTAGTCAGGCACATCCTCTATAGCTGTACATTGCTGACACTGTACATCAAGGTCCTCACTGAGCATCCAGGATCCAACACCCCAAGATCACTGGACTGCCCTCAATGAAGTCTCACTGCCCACTGTTTTAAAAAGGCCCAAAACATCATAAAAGACACCTCACATCCTGGCCACTCCCTGTTCGAACTGTTGCCCTCAGGCAGACGGTACAGGGCAATCAGAGCAAGGACTAATAGACTCAAACACAGCTGTTATCCAACTGCAATAACACATCTGAATACTACAAAAAAATGTCCATCACGCCACTCTTGTGTTAATCTATGCACGGCCTGAAGCATGTGTGTGGGAATGTATGTGAATGTTTTACTGTTACATCTTATTAGTATTTTAAGTATTCTATCTATTTTATTTATTGAATTTTATTGTTTTATTTATATTTTGATATTGCTAGGGATGATGCAATGATCGGGGACCATTCTTCATTTCGTTGTTCTCGTGACAATGACAATAAAGTTTCTGATTCTGATTCTGAAATGGAATGCACAGAAAGACGGTGGGGTCGAACTCCGGTACATACCCAAATTGTATGTCTCTCTGTTGTCAATGCAGCACCAAAAACATTGTTTCTTCTCAGATGAGTCGTTTATTGAAACTACAGCTGTCATTGGCAAGTTTGTAACTATTATAACTAACTAACTATTCACAAAGGTTTTACATGTACGTATCCAAAAAATGACTCAAGAATTAGAAATAGGGTGGGTTTAAAAATTGATTTCCCATTTCAAATCGATTTTCATTTGAAGAATATGGATTCATTAAGTCCTGAAATACATTTTTTAATATAAATGAATTTTGCCAGAAATGCCAGAATCTCAGCTAAAAGCTCACAAAAGTATTTCAACACCCACTAAACTGCTAAAACAGCAAACGATTGAAGAGCAGGTAAATGGTTTCCAAATAAATATCTGAACACAAATTGCGGTTAGTCTGGCAACAATGGACACGCCTTTGGGTGCTGAAAGCTGACAGATTTGCAATCTCACAGACTGCACAGCTGCAGGCTTTGTCACTCTGTCCAAAATTCACTGATCCAACAGCAAAGGAAGATCAAAACTACACTTGAAAAACACTGTCATGAATTCCATCTTACTTTGGTTGTCTTGCTTCCACCACGAGAAAACCCATTAAAAATCCATTAAAAATCTCTATTTTTCTGCGTGATTCTCTTTGTTATTACCCACCAGTCTACCATTGTGTAGAGCACTGTCGGCCTGTTTTTTTAAAATTTTTATTTATTTTCCCAAAATTAGCTCTAACAGAAAAACCCAATTTCTGCTTTTCAATATGACAAAGAAATTTAAACTTTTTAAACTTATGCTAAATTGCAAAACCTTAGTCTGTGTCTCTAATAAACTTCTAACTTTGCTCTGCTTCACTTCAGCAGCATTAGATAATCGTTCAATGTTGATTCATGGTTTTCTTCGTTTTTGTCTCTGCAGATATCGTTTTAAGGGTCATCAATGCTTAAAAACCAGGCCAGAAAAATCTTGTTTTTTCTTTCATTCTAGTTTTTTTTTTTTTTTTTTTTTTTTTTGTGTCCCGTTTGGATCTTTAGCCATCAGAATTGTTGTCTTAAGGCCAAGAAAGATGCCAAGCGGATTTATTTTACCAAGTGGATCATCATGGCCTTGCCATATTGGTCCATTTGATTGACCTTTATTATAATTATGAATTTATTTTATTTTCAGTTGCTACAAACGGGACAGACATGACTGGGGGATAGGACAGGGAGAGAGAATGAAAGAAAGAGAGGGAGAGAAGAAAACCAAAGGGGAGAAGAGACGGTGAGAAGGGGGGGAAGAAAGAAAAAAAAACAAAAACAAACAAAAAAAACAAAACACCTGGGTCACCTGTATGGAGAGAAAAAAAAACAGAAGAGAAAGCAAACAACAAAGAGCAACATAATAAAAAAAACGGCACCATCACAATAAACTAGCTAGCAGTAGATATCAGTAGATACTAAATAATAAACGATATTGTGCAGCACGCAAGATAGACAGCGCACAATGTGCTTTGAGGCAGCAGCCAAGAAAGCTGTAGTCCGCGTCTGTGTATACACCCGTGTGTACTACCTGTGTGCATACCTGTGTGGATCAGCATGCTTGCATTCCAAAGGTATTCTCAGTTACTTTGACACGAAGGCATCTGCTGTGATCCTTGAACCTCTGATTAAGTCTCACAAGTGTCAGCTTTGCTTTTAATCCTAGATAGTTTACACTGAGTGTGTAATTGCAGAGAAATTGTCACGGTCCTGGTTCGGTGACCCAGTGTTTTATACCTGTTTAATTTGTTTCTTGATTATTTGTTTTTCATGGTTATCAATGTTAGTGTTTTGGTTTCTGTTCAAGTATTTCTAGCTCTATTCCTGTTCCGTCTTGTGTCTGCTTTGTGCCTTCCTGTCCCATGTTTCAGGCCTCTGTCTCCCCGGTGACTACTCTCTTTTGCTTCCTCCCAGTCTTGTCTCATCTGATTAGTGTCAGCTGGTTTTCCCTGCCTAACTGCCATTTCTTTGTTTCCTTGTCTGTGTGTATATAGTGTATACGAGGATGTTGGTCCGTCTGTCTGTCATGCCCTGCTCTCTGTCTCCTCACGCTTCGAGGTTGTGAGATTGTTACATCTTATTATATCTTATGCTACCTTATACTTCTAATCAAAGAATTGTTGAATCATTATACAGTACATATACAAGATAAATGATCACAATTATAATATAATAATATATTTATAATATTTCAAAATCAAATTGAGGCAAATCAAATCATGACCTTGTGAATCAGAATTGAACGAGTTGTAGAAATCAGTGACAATATCAGCCCTAATTAGAAAGTCCACTACACAGACTCGGTGGCACAATGCTGCAAAGCAAAATGCAATCTAGCTAACAGTGGGACATGGAGAATTTATAAACGACTTTATAAACTTTATAAAATGGGTGAAGAACCTTTCAGACCGGAATCTCTATAAAATGGGTGAAGAACCTTTCAGACCGGAATCTCACTGAACCTGAAAAGAAAGTATTAGCTAAAGGTCTCAATTTTGCCATTTCTCCGCAACAGTTCGCCCATAGTGGACCTCATCACAGCCACAGAAATCGCCATATCGGATTAATAAATTATCACAGACAGAAGCAGAGCAAATCAGGATGAAAGTCTCAGCCACCCTCTCCAGTGCCAAAGTCCCTCGTCTAACCTCACATTACAAGAAAAGAAGGCCGTCGCTTCCCTGAGCAAAGACCACAACATCACTATATTACCAGCTGATAAGGGAAGGTACACCGTGGTCCTAAACACAACGGATTACCAGACAAAGATCACTACTCTCCTCAGTGACACCAGACACCAGCGAGTGGAGGATAAGAAAGACAGAGCAACAACATTGTCATCCCCTATGTAGCCGGTGTATCAGAGAAACTCAGGAGAGTTTTCTCCAAGCATGACATCCCGGTGCATTTCAGACCCAGCAACACGCTCAGACAGAAACTGGTTCACCCGAAAGACAAAACGCCAAAACACAACTTAACAATGTGGTGTATGCTGTACAGTGCAGCGAGGAATGCCTCAGACCTCTACATTGGAGAGACCAAACAGCCACTTCACAAGCGCATGGCACAACATAGAAGAGCCACCTCCACAGGACAAGACTCAGCAGTCCATCTGCATCTAAAGGTCAAAGGTCACTCTTTCGAGGATGCCAATGTTCACATTTTGGACAGAGAGGACAGATGGTTTGAAAGAGGAGTGAAAGAAGCCATCTATGTCCACTGTGAGCGACCATCTTTGAACAGAGGCGGTGGTTTACGACACCAACTGTCTGCCATCTATAATCCAGTTTTGAGATCCCTCCCCAGACGCCTTAACGCCCACTCACATCCTGGGCCATCTGACCTCAGGAAATCACATGATAGGGTGGGGCCAGGTTTCACAATGAGCTCACCCGAAACCCTGGCTGATTGTGACCCACACCCATTTTCACACCTTGGCTCATGTGATTAGGTAGAGGATCATCAGGGGGTCCTTTGTCCCTCTTTGGGGGGAAACTCCCACTGGTTTAAATCTGGGACTCTCCACCATTTGACCTTAGAACTGAAGAAGCTTCTCGGATGAGAGGTGAAACGTCTTCAAGCAACTTAAACAAGTCCAGACGCTTTTCTTTCCAAGCTCCTTAGACTATGATGACCTGGATGACTGAGAATCTTCATATTGAAAACACCACAAGGACACAACCACACAGTGCATGACACAAAGCATCAGTGTAAAATCTGAAACAAATGCTTCATGGTGGATCTTTGCAGATTTTAAAACTGAATCACTCATTTGACCAGAAAAGTCTCAGAAAAGTAGGATAAGACAACAAAAATGGGGTGCAGATTTGTTTTTATTGAGCCTGTAAAACATCGCTTTTACTTCAACAATAAAGTACATTTACATTTGTAACTAAACTTCAAATGGGCGAATCATCATTCCCATCATTTATGTTAACTCTCTTAATTTTCTTGAAAACTAGGAAATCAACAGTAAGAATTTAACATACTAAATGATTACATTCTTGCTTTTACAAGTAAATACATGAGAACACACTCTGAGCAGCATCAGATTTCTACGAGTGTTACTTTGTTTGAATGACCACTGTTGGTTGAGACATGAAACCAGTTGCAACTGGTTGTGCAGGCATCATCATCACTCCTGGCTGAAAAGTTGGAATAGGCTGCATGTTGATAACCGTGTTATTGTGTAAGTTGATGACAGTTGGCGCTTTCTTGCGATGCTTTAACTCGCGATGCATCTGACACCAGGAGCACCACTCACAGAAGCAGGAAATTACAATGTCCTTACAGAGAGAGCCCTGCAGAAAGAGAGTACAAGCATTACAGATGTGGTGTAATTCAGGTGGAGGAGCAGGTCATCTACCAACCAGAGGTTTGGTAGATCAATCCCTGGCTCTTCTGGTCCACATGTCACAATATCCTTGCAGCAGATACTGAGTATGTGTGTGAATGTTTGACAAAAAACATTTAGGCATAGTTGAAATCAAATATGGATGTTTTTGATTCAGTGAGTGAGACTTGTAATTCCCACTAAGGCTACGTTCATACTGCAGGTCTTGATGCTCAATTCAGATTTTTTGATCAAATCCGATTTTTTTGTCTGCTCGTTCACACTACAAATAAAATGTGACAGCAAACGCGCTCTAGTGTGAACGCTCAAAGCGGCCCGCATGCGCAAAAGAAGACGTCACACACAACGCGCTCTGTTTAGACCCAGAGCAAACAATATTGTTTGACTGATGGCCCTTAATATAAAGACTTCGGACTTTACATTTCCCAATTTTTGCTTTAAGTTATTTTGTTATTTACATAATAATGTAAATAACCTAATAATTATCCTTATTGCTGTTTTAGAGAGGAGCGGTGCTTCAAAGGATAGTTGCAGATTTCTGTCAGAATCTGCAGATTATACAGTACAAATGAAATGTTCACGTTGTCTTCCCAAGAGTTTCGCTGGATGGCCAGGCAGCGTTCACGATGTCTTCTCCGGCGGTGTGATAATTGGTGTCTGTCTTGTGTCAGTGACGTAAAAGACGGATTTAATGCGACATGACCGTTCAAACAGCAGTCGCTTTCTAAAACATCGGATATGTATCGGATTCAGTACCACATACGAAAGTGACCCAGGTCGAATTTGTTCAGTGTCATCATCTCACGGTTCATACCTTGATGCCATATCTGTTTCGCATGGCAGCTCTTACAGACAAAACTGCAGGAGGAACACAAACAGGTATCCCGAAGGCTGCTAATACACCAGAGCCACATATATCACATAAAGGGAGACAGTTGTTCTCTCCAAATCTTCCTGAAACAGTGCAGGCGAGACAGGGGCAGCACCAGAATCCATAGCAGCCTGAAAAACACAGAAACGCATCAACAAAGTTGTAACAAGTCTCAAAAGATGAAGGCAACACAAATCAGAACAACTTGTAGTCCTGAAAATACAAATATAATTTATGAGTCAATCATATTTAAATGGCTTCTTACAAGTACGTGCATCCTCAAAGCAGTCACAAAGACCACTGTCCCAGTCTGTCAAAGGTTTTTCTGCCATTGTATGTTGAACTTCACCCACAGACACTGAACGATCACTCTGTGAAAGTCGAGAAGCAGAAAAAGCCAAATTAAATGAAACTCAAAATGTTAATTTTGAAGTTCTTTCTATCAAACTTGTTCACGAGACCTAAGACATTCAAATATTTGTAGCAATGGGAAAGTTTAAGTAGAGAAAAAAAGTATATGTTGTGGACACATGCACATAGATATGAAACCAAAGTGCATGTTAAGGATATTGTGGTCATTTTGTAAGTCGTCAGTTAAGCATGATTAATATATCCATAATTCACAAGACATTTTATATATCAAGGTAAAAATTCTACAGCATTACAGAAAGACACCCCCAAACATCGATAATGAACAAGCATTTGGGGATGAAGGAAGAACAAGCTTTCTATACACATCCAAGTGACTTTAAAACAAACAGCAATACGTGGTTGACATATCTCAAAAGTAAACATCTGAACAGGATATGTAGACTGGTTTGGAAGTGAAAGTATATTACGCTTACAGTTCAGACAGTGTAATCTACTTTAACTGTCCACTACACCAGACAGCTTAGAATTTGGATGTGGTTTGCCTTCGGAAATACTAATAACACACATAACAGTTTACATAAACCTTAGATTTTTACAGTCACACCGTAATGATGACCTCTGTTTCTCCGACCACTAAGTTGATGTAAAATGAATTGAATGAAAACTGGAACATCTTACCTGCTATTGCTGGACACCCTTTGCGCACCTCTGAAACTTAATGAATAAAAGGATCCTTGGCTCTTTTAATAAGGAGTGTCAGTGGCATTTGGGCCAACACAAACAATGCTGCCAAGCCTGAAACTCTGGAAATGGAAACATGAAACTAAAAGTGACTTTCCATTATGTGGTAATCGCGGGGGCGATCGTGGCTCAAAGAGTTGGCAGTTCGTCTTGTAACCGGAAGGTTGCCGGTTTGAGCCCTGGCTCGGACAGTCTCGGTCGTTGTGTCCTTGGGCAAGACACTTCACCTACCGCCTACTGGTGTTGGCCAGAGGGGCCGATGGCGCGATATGGCAGCCTCGCTTCTGTCAGTCTGCCCCAGGGCAGCTGTGGCTACAACTGTAGCTTCCACCAGCGTA